AACATCTCCATACCTTCCACAGTTGCCCACCCCTGCGCTAAAGAATCCAGGGTCTTCCAAAGTCCACCATGTCTACTTCTGGAAGACACCTTCCCATGCACTGCATTTCTCTGGCTCATATGTCCTTCTGAACCAAAAGAAGTGGTGGCCAGAAATCTGACCTTCCCCATTGTGACTCCACACCACTCTCAAAGCAAGTCCGACCTATCACTGGACATAGTGAACCTATGACCTCAGGTATCAGGCCCTGGGAGGCAGCCGCAGAGTGCTGGAGGAGAGAACTATGTGTCCTGTAGCTCATCCCACATTGCTCTCCTATCCACAGTATTGAGGAAAAGTGCAACATCCAATGCAGCTGGCTTTTTATATCCAACAGGAACATGCCATCTTGTTTTGTTTTTGTTGATGTCTCAAGCACCAAATTACTTCGTATGCCCTCCAACATTTCGCATATTAAAAAAATGGGACACATAGCTGAGTGTGCAGTCAAAAGGGTGCAACCAGGTAACAAGAAGACAAAAGTTATTAATAAAGAACAGCACACTAAACTACTACTTTAAGCAGAGAAGTCCTGGTATTTATATACTGAATTTAGGAAGGGCAAAACTCTGCACCCTCTTCTCCTCTTCTGTTCCCCCCAAATGAGTGCAAACTATATTTGCACTTTGAACTCAGTTTTTAGATAGTGAAGTAAGCCAATGACGAAGGGGGAAAGTGGGAGGAGGAGAGAGAAACTGGGACATTTTAAAAGCAGCTGAAAAAGTGGAATAACAGAGGATTAATAGGGATTGCCCCTACTAAACTGGGACAGTTGAGGGTATGTTTTGGGCAATCATTCATTTAGAAAAGTCTCCCTTGGCCTTCCTTCACTGTCAGCATTTAAATGTCATGTAAAAAAACAACCAACCAACACCCTTTTTTGCTATTTATTTATTTTATTTATATGCTGCCTTTCTCCCAAACTGGACCCAAGGTGGCTCACAAAAGATACCCCCAAAACAGTACAACTTTAAAAACATTATTAAAAACATCTCACCAACTTTTTATCGTAGTAGTTGTTGTGTGCCATCAAGTCATTTCCAACTTATAGTGACCCTATCGTGGTAAGATCTGTTCAGAGGAGGTTTGCCATTGCCTTCCCTTGAGGCTGAGAGTGTGTGACTTGCCCAAAGTCAAGCTGGGAAATAAACCCTGGTCTCCAACACTCAAACCACTCCCACTATGGCACACTTGCTCTCCCATCTGACTAATACAAGAAGTTAAAAATATCAAATCATTAAAAAATACTATTTATTTTAAATATGCAGTGGCTTTGGAGTGTTTTACCTTCTTTGGGGCCCTAAAAATTCATTTGAAAAGCTTATTTTTATTTTTATTTTTTAAAAAAGTCCCCCTCCCAACTACCAAAAACTTCATTTTAGACACAATCCTAGGGAAAGCAGAGGTATCAATGTTTTACTGAATGATTTCTTTTTTAATGGTTTAAAATTTAATCCAGATTAATATTGTTTTTTAAAAATGTCATTTATTTATTTTAATTCATTCATACATTTTAATTTAAAAATGCAAGGGGTGTGTTTTGTTGCCCCAGGACTAGGGAGTGGCATCCGCCAAACTGGAACACAGACATATCCATTCATTTCAGAGTGACCAGCTGTCTTTGCCACAGAGGAAGACAAGGGACCATGTAGGACCTTCAAGAAAACATGTAGGACATGACCAAAGAAAAGCTTAAAAGACCCATAGGAATATAAATACCTGCTTCTTGGTTATGCTCAAAATGGAGAGCATTTTGGAATTCTTCCTGGGCAGAAAATAAAAGCTAAAGACACTCATGTAAATATAAATGCATCTTCTTAGTCATGAATGAAGGACATTTTGGAATTCCTCCTGGACAGAAGGCTTGAAATGTAGGACATGTACTGAAAAAGTGAGCCCCTCCTTGATTACAAGTAATCAGTAGTGAAAGACATTAATATTTTATTCTAATCCCTAACTTCAGCACATGGACAGCGTAGAGTTAAAGTGGGGCGAGTAGATCAATCACAAAAGGTAGATCAGGATCTCATCCACACCACAGAAATAAAGCAGTTTGACACCACTTTAACTGCCAGGACTCTGTTCTACAGAATCCTGGGATTTGTTGTTTGGCGAAGCATCAGAGCTCTCTGAAAGCCCAGGCTAAACACTACAACAAACTGCAAATTCCAGGATTCCACAGGATGGAGCCATGGCATGTTTTTTTTTTTTTCATTTAACTTTTGTAAGGTTATTTTAGGTCCAAAACACACTGCAGATATAATTTAGTCTGAGATCGCTTTAACTGCCTTGGCTCAATGCTAGGAAATTCTGGGAACTTGTAGTTTTGTGAGACATTGAGCCTTCTCTGTCAGAGAGCTCTGGTGCCACAATAAATTACAATTCCCAGGATTCCCTAGCACTGAACCTGGGCAGTTAAAGCAGTCTCAATCTGGATAATTTCTGCAGTGTGTTATAGCCATTTATTTTTTTTAAAATGTTTTTAATTAACTTATCTCCTTCCACAGATGCATTTGGTGATGCATCACCAAATGCACCTGAAGTAGACTTGTTTAGGAAAGCTCCTGCTGACAATTTCTTTCTTTTAGTGAGTCTCAAAGGGGCTACAAGATCTCTCTACATACTGATTCTACAGACTAACATGGCTATATCTTTGAATTCTATGGAAAGCACCAAATTTAGCCAGACGGAGTGGGAAATCCTCCAACGTTTTTCAGAAACTTTTCCAGAAACTTGTCCAAATGCATCTGAGGAAGTAGCCTTAAATCTAGGAAATCTCCTGTTGCCAACTTCTTTCTTTCAGTGACTCTCAAAGAGGGTACATGACCCCTTGGCATACTGATTTTACAGACTAGCAGGGCTATATCTTCAAAGATATAGATATATAACAATAAAGATAGAAATATATTTTCAAAGATCTACACTCCACCAAATGCATCTGAGGAAGCAGACTGAAGTCTGCAAAGGCTCCTGCTGCCAACTGCTTTCTTCCAGTGAGTCTTAAGGGAGTTACATGATCCCTTGGCATACTGATTTTACAGACTAAAAGGGCTATATCTTCAAAGATATAGATATATACAGATAAACCTATATCTTCTTTCTTTCAGTGACTCTCAAAGAGAGTCACTAACAGGGTTATATCTTCAAAGATATAGATATATACAGTTAAAGCTATATCTTCAAAGATATGCATGCCACCAAATGCATCTGAGGAAGCAGACTCAGGTCTCCAAAGGCTCCTGCTCCCAACTTCTTTCTTTCTCAAGTGAGTCTCAAGGGGGCTACAAGATCCTTTTACATAACTGATTTCCTCCTGGAGAGAAGGCTGAAATGGTGTCCTGGAAAAGGAGGACGCCTAGTCACCCTG